CCACTCTCACCTTTCGTTCGTTTCATTTTCTGTCCCCGTTTATTTAGATATGAAATGTTTAAACTATATTTCAAGAGGGGTGTCCAAGATTTTGAGAGTTCTTCGGGCGTCCTTTTCTTCCTGTTTCTGTAGCGAAACCCACCGACTCCGATGTTTTGGAAACCTTGAAGGAAAGGCGCTCCCTTGTCCACTGCGGCCTTCCATTCGTTTTTTTCTTTGCGCAAGAGGACACAAAAGAAAGACATGATGTGACATGTATCCAAAATTAGGGTGTCCTTTTCTTCTTTTTTCTGTAACAAGACTCACCTTAAAAGGACGCCCGCGCCGGAGACTTCCAGTTTTTAGAAACCTTGAAAGAAAACAGGCCGAAGACCTAAGATTTTTAGAGAGTTTTTGTTCCCAACAGACAAATCGCGAGCACTGTCCGTCCCCCTAAGATTCTCCAAGAAGTTATGCACCCAACACACAATTCGCAAGTGCTGTCCCCTAAGATGTTGAAAGAATCTGTGCTCCCAAAAGACAAATCGCAAGCACCGTCCAAGTAAGATATTCGAAAAGGGTATGCTCCCAATCAGTTTTTTCTAAAGAAAAAGACAAGAAGAGAAGAGAGAAGAGAAGTTTGCATGTCTTCCTTCCCTGTTCCTTTCTTCTTCCGGTTCGCTCGCTCGTTCTGTCTCCCTCTCTCTCGCTCTCTCTTTTTTCTTTTATGGGCGGCATGTCTTGTAGAAATGGAAGACGGAGTGAGACAGGGCGAGGCATAGAGAGAAGCATAGACCGTAGGACAGAGAGGGTCTCTTAGCTTCCCCCTTCTCAAGTCCAGCTCAGTTTTCTTTCTTGTGGAAAAGAAAGAGGAAGAGAGAAGAGGAATTTACATGCCCACCCTGCCCCTCCAAAGAGTCAAATCGCAAGCCCTGGTCCCTAAGATTTTGGGTTTAACTTTTGCTCCAAAGAGTCACATCGCAAGCCCTGGTCCCTAAGATTTGGGGCCCAGTTTTTGCTCCAAAGAGTGACATCGCAAGCCCTGGTCCCCAAGATTTTGGGCGCATTTTTTTTGCTCCAAAGAGTAGCGTCGCAAGCCCTGGTCCCTAAGATTTTGGGCCCAGTTTTTGCTCCAAAAGGTCAAATCGCAAGCCCTGGTCCCTAAGATTTTGGGTTCACTTTTTGCTCCAAAGAGTAACATCGCAAGCCCTGGTCCCTAAGATTCTGGGCTCATTTTTTGCGCCAAAGAGTCGAATCCCTAAGATTTTGGGGTCAATTTTTGCTCCAAAGAGGCCAATGGCAAGCCCTGGTCCCTAAGATTTCGGGGTCGATCTGTGCTCCACAGAGTCAAAGCGCAAGCCCTGGTCCCTAAGATTTTGGGTTTAACTTTTGCTCCAAAGAGACACATCGCAAGCCCTGGTCCCTAAGATTTGGGGCCCAGTTTTTGCCCCAAAAGGTGAAATCGCAAGCCCTGCTCCCTAAGATTTTGGGCTTATTTCTTGCTCCAAAGAGTAACATCGCAAGCCCTGGTCCCCAAGATTTTGGAATCGATTTTTGCTCCAAAGAGTCAGATCGCAAGCCCTGGTCCCTAAAATGTTGGGCTCAATTTTTGCCTTTCCCTTCTCTTCTTCTGCTTCCTTTGAACTGATAAAACACAAGAAAGGAACTCATATGATAAGGCAGTGGAAAGGTAAGCACAGGGTGACTCCCTGCGCGTGGACCTTTCCATAATGCTCCATCATATTCCTCCTCTCGGCCTATCTCTTCTGTTCCTTTCCTTACCCTTCTCCTTCTCATAGTTCTTCCTTTTTGTTTTTCTCATTTCGAAAAGAAAGAGGGAAGGGAGAAACAAGGGAGAGAGAATAGATAACGAAGAGTGCCATCTTCTCTGCGCCTTGTTTTGTCTCTCCCTCTTCTCTATTAATCTGTCTTCTATTCTTTTCTTTGCTCTTCCCATTAAATATGCAATCCTTGGTATCTCTTCTCTCTCCTTCTCTCTTCCTGCAACAGATGTCCTTTTGGATCGTTTTCTGCATCTTAAAAAGGACACCCAAAAGAAAACACTCAGGGTGCCCCCTTTGCGCGTTTGAAGACACAGAAGGCGATTAAAAGGGACGCCCATGTTGGATTGGCAGCAAACCCAGCTGATGCTCATGATTCTGATTCTCTCTCTCTCTCTCTCTCTCTCTCCCTCTCTCTCTCTCTCTCTCTCTCTCTCTCTCGATCCCTACATATGGGCGATGGAACGGGTGTCCTTTTCAATCGTTTTCTGCATCTTCAAGAGAAAAACGGACACCCCACAAGAAGGAAAAGTAACACAAGAGATAGGGAGGGAAATTGACCCTTTCCTCTCTTCTTATCTGCTATTTTTCTTATTCGCTTCAAAGAAGCAACATAAGGGAAAGGGGATTTCCTGAAGAGGAGCGAGGGAACCTATCTGTGAAAAGCAAGAATGGTTTTTTCTAGTTCGAAAGGGAATAGGGAGAGACAAGGGAGAGATGATATGTACAGCTTTGCGCCTTATATTGTGATTCCGTCTCCTTGCTTCCTGTCTCTTCTATTCCTTGCAGCACGCTTCGAGAAACATAGCATCCTTGTTATCTTTCCTCTCTCACTTCCTTTTCCCTTCTCTTCTTCTGCTTCCTTTGAACTGATAACACACAAGAAAGGAACTCATATGATAAAGCAGTGGAAAGGTAAGCACAGGGTGACTCCCTGCGCGTGGACCTTTCCACAATGCTCCATCATATTCCTCCTCTCGGCCTATCTCTTCTGTTCCTTTCCTTACCCTTCTCCTTCTCATAGTTCTTCCTTTTTGTTTTTCTCATTTCGAAAAGAAAGAGGGAAGGGAGAAACAAGGGAGAGAGAATAGATAAAGAAGAGTGCCATCTTCTCTGCGCCTTGTTTTGTCTCTCCCTCTTCTCTATTCATCTGTCTTCTATTCTTTTCCTTGCTCTTCCCATTAAATATGCAATCCTTGGTATCTCTCCTCTCTCCTTCTCTCTTCCTGCAACAGATGTGCTTTTGGATCGTTTTCTGCATTTTCAAGCGAGAAAAAAGGACACAGAATGCGATTAAAAGGGACGCCCATGTTGGATTGGCAGCATGCCCAGCTGATGCTCATGATTCTCTCTCTTTCCCTACATATGGGCGATGGAACGGGTGTCCTTTTCAATCGTTTTCTGCATTCAAGAGAAAAAGGGACACCCCACAAGAAGGAAAAGTAACATAAGAGATAGGGAGGGAAATTGAAGAACTCCTCATTTTACTTAGTCATTCCCTTTCCTCTCTTCTTATCTGCCCATTTTCTGTGCGCCTTGTTGTGTCTCTCCCTCTTCTCCCTTCATCTCTCTTCTAGTCTTTTCTTTGCTCTTCCCATTGAAATGCAACCCTTTTTATCTCTCCTCTCTTCTTCTCTCTCCCTCCTCTTCTCCTGTTCCCCTCTAAACGACAAAAACGCAAGAAAGGAAGAATAAGAGGGGAATGGAGGCCCTGTTCCTTTCTTCTCTTCTTTCAATGGATGGGGGAAGTGGGCGGAGTTGGCTCCTTGCCCGTACACCCTCCCCATGCTTCAGCAAACCCCTCCTCTCGCCCTATCGCCTCTGTTCTTTTCCTTGTGCCCAAACGGAAAACGAAAACGGGTTCCTTTATATGTTCATTGTCCTTCCTTTGGTTTTTTATTTCACAGGGAAAAGAACCAGAGAAGAGAAAGATAAGAACGAGAGGTGAGATGAAAACGGCACCATCTTCTCTTTGCCTTATTTTTGCACCTCCCCCTCCTGTCTTCATTTCTCTTCCACTCTTTTTTCCATTGCTCTTCCCATAATATTGCATTCCTTTTGATAACTCACAGGAAATTAAAATGGCCTCCTTGTTGTCTCTCCTCTCTCACTTCCCTTCTTTCTTTTTGTTGTTCTCATTTCGAAAAGACAGAAGGAACGGAGAGATAAGGGAGACAGGATAGATAAAGCAGAGTACCATCTTCTTTGCGCCTTGTTTTGTCTCTCCCTCTCCTTTATTCATCTCTCTTCTATTCTTTTCTTGGCTCTTCCCATGAAAATTGTGTTCCTCTTATCTCTCCCTCCTTCTCTCCCTTCTCTTCTCCTGTTCGCGAGAGCCTTCGACTTTAGGGTTGAGGAGAAAAAGAAAAGAGAAAAGAGGAACTACCTGGTTCTTGTTCCTGAGGCCACCATAGTACGACTGACGTGACAGCAGCGTACCCTCGTGGAAACGTGTATGGCTATAGAAAACCCTACGTCACGCTTCCAATCAATCATGGTAGAACCCTATTAAGGCCACCCAACCCCCCCCCCCCCCCCCGCCGCCCCCCCCCCCCCCCTCCGGCCCCCCCCCCCCGTGGGGTGGTTTGGTTGTTTGGGTTTGGGTTTTGGTTTAGGTTTAGTATAGTTTAGGGTGTAGGGCTTAGGGTTTAGTGTATAAGGGCCTTTGGTGGCCGGGGGGATACCATGGGAGGGGGGGGGGGGGTGTGGCGAACCGAGAACCGGGAACATACATGTTCTCTGTGCGACCATCACATGCAACAGGTTCGGGTGCAGGCTATACAGGGCATACTTCAGTGTCAGTGTGTTGGAGCTGCCAAGAAGCCGCGAATCAAAACCCTGAACCCCAAATCCTAAAGTCTCTGAACGTTTATGGTCTAGGGCCTAGGGTGTAGGGCCCAGAGAACTTTGACATGTTTCAAACCCTGCTTAGTCGAGCGGCGTCTGAGAGACGAACACGCTGCTCACGACGTTGAGCAGCGCGAAACCCACGACACACCTCCGCTGAGGGTTGTTAGGGTTGAGGGTTTAGGGTTTAGGGTTTAGTATAGGGTTTAATTAGGGTTTAGGGTTTAGGATTAGGCTTCTGTCAGTGTTTTGGGGTTAGGGTTTAGGGTATGTAGAGTATTTAGGTTGACGAAGGGTCTTGGTTGTAGGGCTCAGTTTGTGTAGGTGGCTCTGGCCCATTGACAGCTGCTGTTCGACGTCTCTATGTGTCCGCTATCCCAAAACGCATAAATATTAATATGTAGCAAAGCTCGGTTGCCTGGGTTAGCTTAGGGCAGTTACATGGACCTTAGTATCGGCCCTTAAAAGGTGAAAAGTGGACCGCTTATATACCTGTTATATACCTATACCCTATACGAATTCAGGGACCATACATCAGAACCCTATAAGGGACCATATTCAGGGCTGTGAAACTACCCTAGAGGTTGTGACGCTTTGTGCTGTGATGCTGACCATTGCTGCTATGTCTCTGCCCATACACGGGAAGAAGTTTTCCTAAACCCTACACCTCATATGCCCTACAAAGCCTAGTTATACACCGTCTATATCATGGACAGAGAGCCTAGGACCTCTGGAATCTACGTGGTTCAAGGCTCCTGAGAAATTCCAAACCCTAAACCCTATAAACCCTAAAACAGTAAGGGGAGAACTGAACTGGCCTGTAGCCCACAAAGACCACGGTGAACCATTCGCTCACGTAGTCCGTCAAAGATCGACAGGCTGGAGCCCAGTTAGCGAAGAGAACCTGCCAAACACATCATCATCATCATCATCATCATCATCATCATCATCATCGATGTAGCACCCTGACACGGAGTATAGCAAACAACGCGCGAAATTGCCAACAAACAACGAAGTTGGGCTGCAGCCTATTCCCCTGGACCCTAAACCCTAAACACGATCCATAAATGACAAACCTAACTCGAAACCCTAAACCGATGATAACAATAAAGTGGTAGCATCATGCTGCTGCGCGATAACTGCCTCGGCGAGGCCCCGCGAACAGAGTCAATCCGAAAACTTTTAGTAGTATCATATGACATGGATACTTATTAGTATGTGATACTACGCTATGTTTAGGCTCTCATACTATTATCTTCGTATCTTCTTAAATGGCGATATTGTTATGTTCTTACTTGATTCGTGAATTCGAATATTATTATGGCAATGTACTGTGAAGTTGTAGCGATACTACATCTCTAAATTAGCACGCCATTGTGCTATTCTGTTGTGCCGATGAATATATGGTTATACGATTGCTGAATTAACAACTGTTGACATTCTGGGATTATTCTCGTTAAGCCGCTTGCTTCTCTAGTCTCATGCTGGGACGGTATATCCCCTGGCATGTGGACGTGATGTCCCTTCAGCGGCAAGCTTTCTCCTTGCCTGTTGCATGCTTTGAGCAGTGATGACTGGTGCCGATCGACTTTGCAAGAGGCTCGTACCCTAAACCCCCCCAAAAAGGGAAAAGGGCCTACCCTGGAATATTGTACTACCCTACGATTTGCTGCAGGGAACAGTTGTGCACAGGCCTCCTGTGAAGCCCAAGGCAAGTCACCTACAACGCTTGCATGTCTCTGGGGCATGTGGGATAGCCCTAAACCCTAAACTCTAAAAACAAAACCCTAAACCCTAAACCCTAAACCCTAAACCCTAAACCCTAAACTCTAAAACGAAATCCTAAACCTGCGTAGGGTTGTATAGGGACGCGTAAATTCTGACGGTTGTGTACAGGATTCCAAGTTGCATGAATTGCTTGAGTCGCAACACCCCAAACCTGTGTGGTTGTTGGGGCTTAGGTCTAAGGTTTAGGGCTTAGGGCTTGGGATGAGGTTTAGGGTTTAGGGTTTAGGGTTTAGGGTTTAGGTCGTCCCCCCCCCCCCCCCCCTCTCCCAGCTCCAGCGGTCCTCGAACATGGTCAAGAAAGTCCGGGTGAAGGTGCCCCAGTACTGGAAGACATACCTGGGTTTAGGGTTTTGACAAGGGTTTAGGGTTTAGGGTTTAGGGTTAAGGGTTTAAGGTTTAGGATGGTTTAGGGTTTAGGCTTTAGAGCTTGGGTGGGGTCTGGGATCCAAATCGGCTTGGGTTTTGAAGCGGCGCTCAAACCCATAAACCCAAACCTTGGCTGCACTCAGGAGGGTAGCTATAAATTAAACTTTTAGCTGCCTTAGCTGCCTTAATCAGAAACGCAATAAACCCAAAAACGGTAAGGATCTAAAGTTACAGTAAAGTACCACAAAGAAACCTTCAACCCTAAACCTACTTATAGGTGGGATAACCCCTATAAGGCCCTTTAGGGGTATTATAAATAGGGTTATAAGTACAATTATAATTGGTTAGTAAGTACCATGAACCTTCAACCCTAAACCCTGAACACTTCGGGTGCTCTCTTGTGCCGGGAGCTTACGTGACCAAGAAGGGGCTCTAAATTCCTACGATTCTGCACAACCCTTAGAAGTCTTCATGCAGTACGTAGACCCTAAACCCTAAACCCTAAACCCTAATTCCTAATTCCTAAACGCTTCCCTTCAACCTGAGTCTCAGGAAAACACTCCAGGAGACACAGGATGGTGTCTCCTGGGATTCAACGCCTAAACATCCTTCGTGAAGTAGGCCTGATATTGACCTTGTTTCGGACTCAGGGCGGCGGCGAAGAGCCCTAAACCCTAAACCCTAAACCCTAAACCCTAAACCCCGAAAACCGTACTTTGGTGGGGGTAAGTATAAGCGGCCCTGGGGGGGTGTTGTTGTGAGTTGGGCTTTGGCCGCAAAGTCAGGGTTGCAGGTTTCGGGCTTCGAGTTTGGGGCTTGAGGGCTTAGGACTAAAGTTTAGGGTTAGGGTTTAGGGTTTAGGGTTTAGGGTTTAGGGTTTAGGGTTTAGGGTTTAGGGTTTAGGGTTTAGGGTTTAGGGGTTTAGGGTTTAGGGTTTAGGGCTTCCTGCCGCCAGGAGCGCCTCCGTGCCTCCTTGTCGATGGCGGGGTCTTCCAAGTACCGCGAGACGAGGGTGCTGATGATCATGCCTGGGGTGTGCTAAGCCCTAAACCCTAAACCCTAAACCCTAAACCCTAAACCCTAAACCCTAAACCCTAGACCCTAAACCCTAAACCCTAAACCCTAAACCCTGAACCCTAAACCCTAAACCCTAAACCCCAAACCCTAGACCCTAAGACCCCTAAAGCCCTTTAATGTTTAGGGTCTCGGCCTTAGGCTTTTCCTGGGCCGGACAAGCCACCTTGACCACGAAAGGAACCCGAAAAGCTCGGCGTCAAGAAATTAGGGCTGGGGAGGCACATGCCCCACTGAGGTTTAGGGTTTAGGGTTTAGGGTTTAGGGTTTAGGGTTCAGGGTTCAGGGTTTAGATGGGTTTAGGGCGCAAGGCTATGTGATACGAGGAAGTGGCTGACTTGCTTTGTCATCCCTTAGCCAAAGCCCTAAAACGATCCCCATCCCGCTGCGCACCAACATCGCGACCCTCAAGCTTAACTTAAATGCAGAAGTTAGTCTTCCGACTCAAACCAGTTCAATCCCTATAGTCTTTATTTTTAGAAGCCCGGGAGACCCTCTAAACCCTAAACCCTAAACCCTGACCCATAAATCCGAAACCGGGTTGCCGCAGACGCACTGCACGAAGATGAGCACGCCCGTGGCGTACCCGAGCATGGTCACGCTGGCCACCACGCACTTCAGCAGGAGACCAAAGGACTCCAGCTTGCCTCTAGAGTTTAGGGTTTAGGGTTTAGGGTTCAGGGTTTAGACTTTAGGGTGTAGCGTTCGGAGACTGAACGGGTGGAGTTTTTGGAAGGGTTTATATAGGGGTTTAGAGCTTCTGGGGAGTAGGGAATTGCGGTTTGGAGTTTGGGGGCTTCAGGGGGGTGTAGGATTCCGCTTGTAGGTTGTCGGGGTTGCCCTACATACGCATTTCTTTAGGGCTTGGGGTTTAGGGTTTAGGGATATAAACCCTAAACCCTAAACCCTAAACCCTAAACCCTAAGGTGAAGCCCAGCCTGAGAGGATGATCATGCGAAAGGCGCGTGCCAACTTTCCGAGTCGCAGCCTTTGAAGGGATCTCAGGGTTTAGGGTTTAGGGTTTAGGGTTTAGGGTTTGGGGTTTGGGGTTTGGGGTTTGGGGGTTAGGGTTTGGGGTTTAGGGTTTGGGGTTTAGGGTTTGGGGCTTGGGGTTTAGGGTTTAGGGTTTGGGGCTTGGGGTTTAGGGTTTAGGGTTTGGGGTTTAGGGTTTGGCGTTTAGGGGTTAGGGTTTAGGGTTTAGGGTTTAGGGCGTGGCTTCTGAGGTTTTGGGGGGTGGCGTTCGGGACATCTTCGGGGAGAGGGTTGGGTACTTGGGTCCCGGAACTCGTCACTTTACATGAGACAATGCAAGGGGTGTCGGGTTCTATGTAACCATGAACTTAACATGGGATGTTCCGCCTTATACGAATAATAGTACCCCTACTAGAATCCCTCTTAAGGACTGTTGGTATAGGAGTGAACATCCCAATATCTAACCCTAAACCCTAAACCGGGTTTCTTAGGGTAGAGATTCTGGGAGTCGCGTATCCAGGAGTTGAGGGTGTAGGACTCCGGGACTTCCCAAAAACCAGAACAGAAGGTTCGCTTCTTCTAGTCAGGACGCCCCCCCCCCCCCCCCCCCTTTTTCAAGTGGCCCTCCTTACAACGGTCCACCGAAACCCTAAAAACTGCTTGGAACAACAACCCCCCGCCCGCCCCCTCCGCCCTGAACCCTAAACCCTAAACCCTAAACCCAACCCTGAACCCTGAACCCTGAACCCTAAACCCTAAACCCTAAACCCTAAACCCTAGACCCTAAACCCTAAACCCTAAACCCTAAACCCTAAACCCTAAACCTCCTTCACGTCCTTCCGCTGCGATTCGGCGAGCTCCCGCTAAGGGAGGCCCAAACTCTTCAACTCTCGGGCCTTCTGAAACCTGCAAAAAACGTACACGTGTATCCGGTTCAACAGCTTTTTTGAGGGGGGAGAAAGTTCATGGCTGAGGGTTTAGGGTTGGAGAGGGGAGGGGCCCTAAACTCTAATCCGGGCTAAACCCTGAAGCTTGAACCCTAAACCCTAAACCCTAAACCCTAAACCCTGAACCCTCTTGAAGCCCAGCCGCAGTCTCAGAAAGATCGGGTCCAAAGGCAGTGAGGACCTCAGCCACATTTGGGCACAGGGGGGGGCCTAAAGCGCATAAACCCTAAACCCTAAACCCTAAACCCCAAACCGCCGGTTTCGAGTGAAGGGTTTAGAGTTTAGGGCACTTTGTTCGGGTAGCCGATCGACCCTGCGAAAATCGAGGCACAGGACCCTTGCCTCCAATGCCCTATAGACCCTGGAACCGGTTAAACCCTAAACCCTAAACCCTAAACCCTAAACCCTAAACCCTAAACCCTAAACAAAACACTAGACCCTAAACGCCATCCCCCATTCCAATCTGCAAACGCCGCCCCGCAGCGTGTCCAGCACCAGGGTGCCGATCGTCAGCGTCACCACAATGAAATCAATCCTGTCGGTTTAGGGTTTAGGATTTAGGGTTTAGGGTTTAGGGTTTAGGGTTTAGGGTCTAGGGTTAGTGCATATAGTCTTCGCCTAAACTCTTAGCCCACCTCTTGAAAAACCTAGGGGAGCGTGCTGAACGGGAGTGGAGTTCCGGAGAAGCTTCCAAGCGTGAGCTTCCAGCGTTTCAAGATCGGGTTTCGGGCTGCAATCAGGCTCTACTCTAGTTCCTTTTTTTGGCTAGTAGTTGCCCAATAAAGGTACGACTTTGCGTAGTTAAATGATGGTCCGTTCCCAAAAGTATGGTCCCTTTTGGGGTCCTAAATTCTAATAGTAGCCTCAAAAAGGGCCAACCTGTAGAGAAGTGACCACATGGCTTGAAGGTTGCGCGGCTGTAGCTTTAGGGTTTGAGGTTTACATTGTGGCTTTAGGGTTGTGGGGGGTTTAAGGTTTCGGGTTTAGGGTCCTGCACCCTAGCAAATAGCCTGCGATAACTAAACACCAAAACGCTAAACCGCCAAACCCTGCCCTGCACCCTACACCGCAAACCCTCAGCAAAGCTGGCATCAGTCCAGTTCATCGCGCTCTTCCAGAAGGAGCACTTCAGGCAAATAATGCGAACGAACCTCAGAAAGCTTCGGGTTTTAGGGTTTAGGGTTTAGGGTTTAGGGTTTAGGGTTTAGGGTTTAGGGCTTGGGACTTAGGACCTCGGCTTGAACTTATGGGCTTTGGGATCCCGAAGCCCTGAATGCTAAAAACCCCAAAATCCTAAAAGGGTCCGGTAGACCCCCCAAAGCACTGGGATTCAAACCCAAAACCCTCAAACTGAAAGCCCTAGAGCCCCAAAAGCCCGAAAGCCCTGAAACCCTGAAGCCCTAAACCTCAAAAAGCCTAAACCCTGAACCCTAAACCTCAAAAAAACCCAAAGCCCCGTAACCCCAAAAGCCCTAAACAGGCTCTGGGCATGTGGGAGCACGGTTTAGGGTTTATAGGGTTTAGTTTATAGGCTTGGGTATACACAAGGGGGCTTCGTGCTCCAAAACAGAACCTGAGCCCAAAGACCCACAGCGAGCCTAAAGCAGGAAAAAGAAAAACCTGAAGCAATGGGTTTGGGGTTTGGGGTTTGGGGTTTAGGGTTTAGGGTTTTGGAGATTCGGGGCGCGCTAGAGAAATCCACGAGAAAGGGAGAAAGGGGCGCCATCGGTGGACTATCATTGTTAAAGGTTGCGTCGGGACGAGTCTGCAAAGCCAGGCGGCACATCCAAGGAGAAGATAATCTGAGCACACATGGTCAGCGCTCTACAAAAGCCGTCGCGTAATAAGGGGTACCCTAAACCCTCGCACCCCACCCCCCCCCCCCTACATTCCCTAAACCCTAAACCTCAAACCCTAAATACCCTGAATCCTAATGCAAACCCTAAGCCTTCAAACCCTAAACCCTAAACCCGAAACCTTACACCCTAAACCCTAAACCCTAAACCTTAAACCCTACCCTGAACCGGTGGGGACCCATCTCAGAGTCGGCTGGTACCCCTTTCCGGTAGGTTTAGGGCTTAGGGCTTAGGGCTTAGGGCTTGGGGCTTAGGGCTTAGGGCTTAGGGCTTAGGGCTTAGGGCTTATGGCTTAGGGTTTAGGGCTTATGGCTTATATAGGGCTTGGGGCTGAGGGCTTAGGGCTTAAGGCTTAGGGTTTAGGGTTTAGGCTGGCACCCATATCAGGTGGTACCCATCTCAGGTGGCGTCAGTGGGTTACCCATCTCAAGTGTGACCCATCTCAAATGAAAAGGAACATGTGGCGGGGACATTGAAGGTTTATTTAGGAAGTACGGCCCAGGGTTGCTAGGTGAAGCTTGAGGAAATTCGGGGCCTAGGGCAGGGTTTGGGGTTTGGGGTTTAGGTTTAGGGTTTAGGGTTTGTGTAGGGTTCAGGGTTTGCGATTTCTTGTGCCGTGGACCACAGAGCCGTGGCAGCATTTGCTGAACAATGGTCCTGGAACATGCTGAGTGAGGATCCTTGTCACAAGAGATGATGCCCCAAACCCTCAAGTCAACTGTCCCTAAACCCTAAACCCTAAACCCTAAACCCTAAACCCTAAACCCTAAACCCTAAACCCTAAACCCTAAACCCTAAACCCTGCAGAAAGTACCTAAGAGCCAACCAGAAGACAGCCAAGAGTAGTCTTCGGCGGTTCCATGTCAGGGAGGGCTGCCAGACCAGTCAGGGTATATAGAAGGGTTGAGGCGGAGGCTGGATGATCGGGTTTCGGGTTTATCGGTTTATCGTTTAGGGTTTAGGGCTGAGGGTTCTGGGTCTGGAGTGTACAAAGAAGAGGACATGACAATCAAAACGGGGGGGGGGGGGGGGGGCCCCCCAGAAGTGGCAAGAACCCTAAACCCTAAACCCTAAACCCTAAAAACCTAAACCCTAAACCCTAAACCCTAAACCCTAAACCGTAAACACTACTGGGCTCGGAGATATGAGCATTGCCAGCTCCGGGGGGGCCGCCCTAAACCCTCAACCCTCAACCCTAAACCCTAAACCCTGAACCCTACACCCTAAACCCTGAACCTCCAGAGCCCTAAACCCAAAACCCTAACCCCAAATCAGACACCCTGACCCTTGAAACCGTAAACGCTTGTGACCATGCTTGTTGCAGCCCGTGGGGGCTGTGAAGATGTGCTCAACGAACTGCAGGGCCTGTAACTGCAGGGCCCCAAAAGGGTTCAGGGTTTAGGGTTTAGGGTTTAGGGTTTAAGTTTAGGGTTGAGGGTTTAGGGCTCTGGGACTAGGCTCTGGGACTAGGATCCGGATTGTTTAGGATATTGAGTTGAGGAGTCAGCGTTCTTTGGGAGCAAGGCTTTAGTTGAAGGCTCCCAGCGAACCCTAAACCCTGAACCCCAAACACTAAACTCGACCCAAATGCGAAACCCCAAACCCTAAACACCCTGAACCCCAAGCCGAACCCCCAAAGCTCCAAACGCAAAGGCCGAACCCTGCTTCCAGGTTCATGGAGACTTACAACCCAGAAATAAGTCTACTTATAGCCTACTTCGGGGACTTTGGTGGCGTATCAGTACAGTTAGAATTGGGGTTATAAGTGCCCATGAACCTCCAAGTAAAACAACCTCCTACTCGGCCCTTATGCCTTGGTTTTTTTGCCAATAAGCCCCTTTAAGCCCAAAAGGGCACCCTTTTTCCGCCTGGGATAATCTTGGGTCTTGCGGTTGGGCCTAAACCCTAAACCCTACACCCTAAACCCCAAACTCCAAACCCCAAACCCTAAACCCTAAACCCTAAACCCAACCCTCAACCCTAATGGTTCTAAGTAATTACCCATGAACCTCCAAGTGCCCGGGCCTCGAGGATGCTTGGCCAGCTGCTATCGTTTGGGTTCTTCGCCGGGTAGTAGTCAATATCGTAGCCTGGGTTAGGGTTTGGGGTTTAGGGTTTAGGGTTTAGGGTTTGGGGTTTGGGGTTTAGGGTTTAGGGTTTAGGGTTTAGGGTTTAGGGTTTAGGGCAACCTCTGACTGAAATGTCCTTTCTTTCGTGGGCCGGGGGTGAAGGGGGGGTGGAGGGGTTTAGGGATGAAGGGGGTTTCGGGTTGCTTTGCTTGTTTGAATTTAGGGGGTGGGGGGTGGGGGGGTGGAGGGGTGGCGGTCCAGGGACGTTTTGAGGGTCTAGGGGATTAGGGTTTAGAGCATGGGGTCCTTGGCCCAGGCTGGTTTAGGGCATTGGTTCCAGTCAAACCCCAAACCCTACACCCCAATCCCTAATTCCCTAAAGCCTAAACCCTAAACCCTAAACCCTAAACCCTAAACCCTAAACCCTAAACCCTAAACCCTAAACCCTAAACCCTAAACCGGGTTGGTTTAGGGTCTGGGACGAGGGGATGGCGCCGGTGCTTCAGGACCCTGTTGTGTGCTCCAAGACTCTACAAAGGAGTGGCAGGGTAAGGTCTTGGGTTTAGGGTCTAAAGGTTCGGGGTTGAGAGTTTAGGGTTCGGGGTTAGGGGTTTAGAGGTGTAGGCTTCAGGAGGGTGCGCTCAGTGCCAAGCTAAGACCGGACGCTTGTCTCATCGCCCTCAGCCCGAAGTTTCCAAAGTGATTCTGACTTTAGCAAGCCCAGCCCAAACTCCAAACCCCAAACCCCAAACCCAAAACCCCAAACCCCAAACCCTAAACCCTAAACCCTAAATCCAGCTCTCGGAGCCAGTGTTCGCTGTTGGAGGTCCTGAATATGACCCTCCTAAACCCAAGAAGGAAAACATAAACTCTCCCAAGGGCCTAGACTTTAAACCCTAAACCCTAACCCCTAAACCCTAAATACAGTTCTAGGGCTCACTTTCAAGGCTCCGCAAAGCTGCGCACAACAGCTATTATTTGCTTAAGAACCCCAGGAGAATGAAACAGTCATATTCCTGATGCTACCCGAAATAATTAAGGAGGAATGTGTTGCTTATTTTTTCGGGGCTCTTGGTCTTTGAAGGCTTCGCAGAGAAGCGGCCAAGGAACCCTGAACCCTAAATCCTAAACCCTAAGGACAAGAGGCCGATCCGCGATCCTTCCATCTGAAGCTGGACGGCCAGAAACAACACGTTGGCGACGAGGACGCACGAGATGATCCTGAGAGCCCCAAACCCTAAACCCTAAACCCTAAACCGGCGTGGTCATCTGGACTCTGTTGAAGACTAGGTGAGACCCTTGCTGGTTTTATCAGTGGTGCAACTTATTGCAGTCCAGTGCCTGATCCGCCAGTCATCACAAACTGCTACCAAAGGTTTAGGGTTTAGGGTTTAGGGTTTAGGGTTCAGGGTTCAGGGTTCAGTGTTTAACTCTGGATGAGTGCAGCTCCCTACTACTGCAGTCGCGGAAGGGCATGGGTTCCGGTCATGTAGCCTCACAAAGGTCACGAAGCCTCACACAGATGGGTGGTTGTCAAAATCATGATCCCTTTTTTGGGGTACCCTAAATGTTAGGTGCCGTATTGGAACAGGGATCCAAAAAGGGGCCATAATATTTACCAACCACCCAGATGGGGTTTACGATATTGGGTACCTTGCCGGGGTTTAGGGTTTAGGGTTTAGGGTTTAGGGTTTAGGGTTATTATCAGGGGATCCTATCATCTGGGGGTCTTTATTGGGGTCCCCTATTGTCTAATGCAGGGTTCCTGTGGCGCTTTCAGGCCAAGTGTCGCGTCAAAGTAGCTGGACTGCAGGAACTGCCTCCCAGCCCACGCAGAGGTGTGAGTCCACAGGGTGATTGATCTTCAGGTTTCAGTCCAGCACCGAACTTTGACGCAGTTGAAGAAATAGAGTTCTTCTAAGCGAGGGGAGTTCAAGGGGGTTTATGTAACCCAAGGTTCCCGAATACTCCCCACTACGCTAAGGCTCCCTACATAGGTACCTACCTCCCCTCCCTTAAGAACCCTATCATAGTTGGGATGGTTCGCGAACAGAGCCTAGACCCCAAACCCTTAGCCAAGGAAGCTTCCAGCTTCATGGTACGGACGTTGGGAATTTCGATTCGTCACATGGCTTAGATTTAAACTGTGGGCCTTCTCTCACACGCTGAAACCGAAACCCCGGACCCTAAACCCCTAAAACCTCTAAATCCTAAACCCTAAACCCCAAACCCGGCCCAAACCGTAAAACCCTGAACCCTGAACCCGCAACCCTAAACCCTAAACCCCAACCCTATATCCTGACCAGTCTTTACGGGGGTGCCTGGAGAAGTACTTCCCAAGCTCCTTTCTATAAGAACCCTGACATGAAAAGTGCCAGAACAGAACCTAAGGGTTTAGGGTTAGGGTTTAGGGTTTAGGGTTTAGGGTTTAGGGTTTAGGGTTTAGGGTTTAGGGTTTAGGGTTTAGGGTTTAGGGTTTAGGGTTTAGGGCTTAGGGTTTAGGGTTTTGGGCTAGGGTTTCAGGAGCCCAAGGCCTCACATAACCTTAAGAACTCAAACGCGAGGCCCTGCACACTCTCTGGGCCCCCAAACTACCTAATGTCATTCTGGGATTCATGCCCTATTGATTGTGGGTTAGGGTTTAGGGTTTAGGGTTTAGGGTTTAGGGTTTAGGATTTAGGGTTTAGGGTTTAGGGGTCGAGGGTTATCATCGACTAGATGGTAGCCTTTGGGGCCACAGGCAAGCAGGACTTCTAGCACCTGCTGGTGCAAGCAGGCCAAGCGGGGTTCAGGGCTTAGGGTTTAGGGTTTAGGGTTTAGGGTTTAGGGCTGGATCACTGACTCGGGGGGCATGCGCCTTCGCACGTGTAAGCCCTTAACACCCAGACAGGGTTTTGGGACTGAGGGTCTATATATATAGGGTGTCTAGGGCTTAGGGTTCCGAACCCTAAGCCCCAAACCCTCTACCGCGACTACAGCCCCGCTGCCTGAGCTTGTGCATCAAGGTCGCCTTCTCCTTCGTTCGGTTTAGGGCTTAGGGCTTACGCATGCGGTCCATGGGACAGTCTCAGAAAATAGACACCAACCACAGAATATACATATATGATGAATACATATGTATAGATACATATATATATATATTTCTATATACATATATATATATCCTAATTGAAACGCATGGAGTCTGTCTGTAAAATCTAAATTTTTGGGGGGATTCGATTTTATAATTGGCCATTGCAAAGAAGCAGATGGGCCGCGCCTTTTCTACCCCACCCCGGCTTCGCCACCCCCCACCTCTCCCTACCTTGGTTTTGTGTGTCGTTGAGACTTCGGGCCTTTAGGGTTTAGGGTTTAGGGTTTAGGGTTTAGGGTTTAGGGTTTAGGGTTATAGGGCTTAGGTTCACACAGAGGCTCCATCCATGCATCGGGTCAGCAAGACTGCAAGACCCAAGCAAAACTCAAGATGGTGTGTCATCGCCAGTGGAGGCGAATGCACCCTGAAAGCCTAGAAGGCAAAGACCCTGAAACCCCTTAAACCCTTAAACCCCTTAATCCCGTGAAACCTTCAACCCTTAAACCTTTAACCCCTTAAACTTAAACCCTACCCGCATCATCGCCTACGTCCGGCCCCAAAACAAGTCCGAAATCCCTAGCCAGACCCATGCTGCTCAAGAACCTTGTAAAGGTTTGAAATTTAGGGTTGAGGGTCTCACCCTCCCCCTCCTCCCTCCTCACAATCCCAAACAAGGCGCCCTCAACCCGAAACCCCGCAAAGCCTCCACTTCAATGTCGGCCATGTCTGCAGTGTCTGGCAGCTTCTCGCCCAAGCCTCAGGTTGCGGGCTTAGGCTGGCTAGGGTTTAAGAGGACACAACCCTAAGATCCCAAACACGAAACCCTCTAAACCCTCTAAACCCTCTAAACCCTCTAAACCCTCTAAACCCTCTAAACCCCAAGCCCTACACCCCAAACCCTGAACCCTAAACGGCAGAGGACATATTTTTGAGGTGTGGCGCCACACCTTTCGTTTGAAGGTGTGGCGGGGTGGTTTTTTGCTTGAAGATGACCTCCGAAAAGAAGTGCCGCGGGATCTCCTTCGTCTCCTTCGCAGCCCTTGACTTTAGGGTTTAGGGTTTAGGGTTTAGGGTTTAGGGTTTAGGGTTTAGGGTTTAGGGTTTAGGGTTTAAGGTTTAAAACACTTGCTAGCCCGAAAACAAAAAGCTTGCTGACAAACATTCAAAGATCTAGATCAGGCACGATGTGCCTGACGACGCGCAAGGGACTGGTGGTGGTGGTGGTGGTGGCGGCGGCGGTGGTGGTGATGGTGCGTCGTCGAGGGGGGGGACAATTTTTGCCGGTGGGTGTGGCATTGCCTTGGTTTGTATTGTCTTGGGTTGTGGTGCTTTCGGTCGTGGCATTTCCTTGGGTTCGGGTTTTGTTTTGGCTGTGGTGGTGAAAGTGGTGGTGTCTTCCATTTGCAAACACAATGCTCGCATCGTGGCTTCGGAAGGGGTTCATATGCTTTGAAGCAAGCTTTTTAAAGGCTTTTTAAAGCAGGGGGGGGGGGGGGGGGGGCCCGAACTTGCAAACACAATACTCGCAGGGTTGGGGGGGGGGGGGGGGGGGGGGGCGATGTGGCAGCCCCCCCCCCCCACGCTTTTTCCCACACGATGCTTGCCATCACGACTTTGGAAAGGATTCGCATGCTTTGGCTGCAATCAAGCTTCCCGGCTTAAAAAGCGAGGGGGGGGGGGGCGCAGCCCCCCCATTTGCCCCCATTTCCCAACTCAATCCTCGCACTACGTATGCTTTGAAGCAAGCTTGCCCGGCTATGAAAAAAAGTGGGGCGGTTGGGAGGAGGCGCAGTCCCCCCCCCCCATGTGCAAACAAGCTTTAAACAAGCGGGGGGGGTTGGGGTGGCTGCCCCGCTTAAACGGGACCAAGAGACCACAGGGACCACAGGGACCACGGGGACCACAGGGACCAGGGAAGGTTCGCCACACTTTAAAACAAAAAATCCCGCCACACCGGGACCGGGAGACCAGGGGACCCAGGGTCCGCCACGCCTTCAGCCTGTGAAAAAAAATAGGGCCCACCCTAAGCCAACAGCCTAAGCTCCAAACCATCCCCTGCCATCCCAAACCCTAAACGCTAAACGCCAAACCCTACACCCCAAACTCCAAACCATCCCAAACCCTAGACCCCATACCCTAAACCCCATACCCTAAACCCGAAACCCTAAACCCTAAACCCCAAACCCTAAACCCTAAACCCTAAACCCCAAACCCTAAGCTGCTGAAGGACTCTTGGCCGTATGGGTCGCAAGGTCCATGGGCTCGAGGGTCTCCCGCCAGTCACCTGAAAGTGAGGCTGGAGTCTCGCATCTAGGGTTTAGGGTTTAGGGTTTAGGGTTTAGGGCTCGGGGAAAGGGACTTAGGGTTTAGGGCTTGGGGTTTGGGAATGTAGAGTTTGGGAGTTGGGGCTTATGCAGCATACACATATCCAGACTACCTGGGATCTGAAAGTAAAGAACCGATGGCATTCAACTCGGTGGTATCCATTTTGAGGTTTGCAAGGCCCTAAACCCTAAACCCTAAACCCTAAACCCTAAACCCTAAACCCTAAACCCTAAACCCTAAACCCTAAACCCTAAACCCTGAACCCTAAGACGCAGGACACCTCAAATGGGGTTTCAGCTTCAGGACGCGCCCCCCCCCCCCCCCCCCCAGGGAACCCTCTAAGTCATCGTCCTGCTGCACTCGGAGGGTATATAAATAACACCTTTAGCTGTCCTTAATCAGCAACCCATACCCAAAAAAAGATAAGGACTAAAGTTACATTTTAAAGTTACCACAAGGTATCATGGTTTCCCTACTGGCCCCGCCCCCCTCTATACTACCGCTCAACAGCCCCCCCGCCCCCCCTACTAGGATTTCTCTCCACTTCAACACCTTCAATCGGCATAATTGTCCCTACATCCCTAACTCATGGCGGGGGGGGTAGGAGGAAACCTAAGGGGGGGGGGGGGGTGGGGTTTTGGGTTTAGGTTTAGGGTTTAGGGTTTAGGGTTTAGGGTGGTAGTATAGAGCAGGGGAACCCATGAATAAGGGGCTTCGGGTTGGGGTTTACCTGCACGCGACACTGCTTCTTGAAGCGTGGAAAAGGGATATTTGGGTGCCTAAAGCTGCCTCATGTGGGGGTGAGGGGGGGGGGGGGTGGGCGTTGTTGGTTTAGGGTTTAGGGTTTAGGGTTTAGGGTTTAGGGTTTAGGGTTTAGGGTTTAGGGTTTAGGGTTTAGGGTTTAGGGTTTAGGGTTTAGGGTTTAGGGTTTAGGGTTTAGGGTTTAGGGTTCGCTGTTGGTTTCTTCACGTGAACATACTGAAGACAGAAAATTCATCGATCAATCAAACCGCTCTGTGTAGTTTCAGCATGTGTTCGAAGCTAAACACCCCAGAAACGCGAGAAACCTAGCCAAATGCCCTAACTAAGCCCGACAACCCATCCGCTCCTGAAGCACCGAAAGAGAAGCACATAGCAACGTCGTTTCGGGTTTAGGCCTTGATTTAGGGTAAATAGGGCTCACGTGGACCTCCTGGATGGTAGCGTTTTAGGGTACAGGGTTTAGGGAGTAAGGCTATAGGAGCATGCTGGGCGTTGGTGTTATGCAGCTCTTTGGGGGACTGAAGCCTGGAGACCCTACAGCGCGCCGGGGGTTCAGAGCGCCAGGGACCCCAAACCCCAAACCCCTAAACCCCTAAACCCCGACACCCGAAACCTTGAGCACCAAGTGTAGGGTTCGTTTAGAGCTCGGGGGCTGATGGGGTTTCGGGCTGAAGCTTGCTGAATCCCTTGAAGATCCTTGAAGGGGGCTGATTTCGGGGGCTATAAATGCACTGAAACCCCTTACTCCCTATCGGGAGCTAGCAAGCAAGGCCTGGGGGGCTTTAGAGGGATTAGGGCTGGACAACCCCTAACCCCCCCTTAACCCTAAACCCTAAACCCTAAACTCCAAACCCTAAACCTAAACCTTAAACCCCAAACCCTAAACCCTCTCCCAAATCCGACCTGTGCTCACTGCACTCGTCGGCGACTCCGGCGTTGCCTCGCTCGCGCAACGCCCTAAACGCTGAGCCCTAAAAGTTGGGATGTTCCCCCTTATAAAATTGGAAAGGGCACCCTTTTAAACCCTGGGTTCTTCTTGGGTCTAGTAGTCTAGTAGCCCTAAACCCTAAACCCTAAACCCTAAGGTTATAAATAGCTATCAGCCACAGCAGCGCGGACCTGAACCCTACAATGAACCCTGCAGCCCTCACCCCCTCTCCCTCAAAGCAGACAGCTTGAAAGGTTCTGGGTTTAGGGTTTAGGGTTTAGGTTCATAGGGATTCTCGTCGGGGGTACGAGAATCCCTACTAAGGACTGTTTTCGTAGAAGGGTGAGCATCCCAACCTAGAAGCATCCTGGCGGCCCGGGAGTCCTCGCCGATGCCGGCCCGAAACCCTGACTATTCATAACCATAAACCCTAAACCCCAACTCCCAAACCCCAAACCACATCCTATATGAACCACCGAGTTGTGGGTTCAGGGTTTCAACTACTACTTTGCTTAAGAGTCACCAGTAAGCAAACAAAAACAGTCATCAGCACCATGCTACCCCAATAAGGGAGAATGTGTTGTTTTATTTGAACTATTTCTTGCCGGGGGGGGGGGGGGGGGTTCTCAAACAAACTAGTAGTTGACACCCTAAACCCACAACTCGGTGGTTCATATAGGATGTGGTTTGGGGTTTGGGATTTGGGGTTTGGGGTTTGGGGTCTAGGGTGTAGGGTTTAGGGTTGAGGGCAACTGGCGCTTTGGGGTACCGAGATCCTGTGATTCCCTACTGCGAACAAGTTTAGGGTTTAGGGTTTAGGGTTTAGGGTTTTGGGTCCTCAAGTGCTTTCAATGGGGTTGCTGTGGCGACTCCGGTCGCTCCTACTCCCAAAAAGCCGTAAATTCTTACTGGTCCTGCGGGCATGAGGGAGCTGTAGGTACCCTAAACCCTAAACTCTAAACCCAAAATTCTGAACCCTAAACCCTGAACTCTGAACCCTAAACCCTAAACCCTAAACCCTAAACCTTAAACCCTAAACCCTAAACCCTAAACCCTAAACCCCTAAACCCCTAAACCCTAAACCCTAAACCCCAAACCCCCTATTAAGCCCTACAGCCCTGGCCGCCTGGGCGGCGAGTTTTGGACAGGAGCGCGCACTGCGCTCGCTCTGCGACTTGGCCACTCGGCCCTGTAGATGGGCCTGGCCACCAGTGGGTTTAGGGTTTAGGGTTTAGGGTTTTGGGTTTAGGCTTTAGGCTTTAGGCTTTAGGTTTAGGGTTTAGGGTTTAGGGTTTAGGGCTACCCGACATAGGGGTACCCCGAATATACCCCAAATAGAATCCCCTTAAAGAGACCCGCCAAAAAGGGTACCCCTATTTTCGTAAACCCGTAAGTGGGTCTAGACTTCATCCCTACTCGAATATGAAACCCCTCGCGCCCCCAAAGAAACACACACCCACAAAAAGCAAAGAAGAGAAGGAGGCTAAAGGAAGCAAGGTGCTTTATGCTTCAGGGAATTGTGAGGATTTTTGGCACCACGGTGACAAGGCCTCGGGCTTTGAGGTAGAGTTTTGGCTTTAAAAAAATATGAGGTTTGTGTATTCCCAAGCGAGTGTTTGTAAAGGAAGCTGGGGTGGCTGTGGGATCCCTGGCTGCAACATTCCTGTGGGTGTTAGAGTAGGGTTTAGGGTCTAGGGCCCCTGGACCCT